GTAGCCTTGGTTTGTGTGTGGCAGAAAGTAACGAACGGGTTGGTTTAGTTGCTGTCTTCAGCCTCCCTTGCCTTGTCTTCCCTGCTCTCATCTGCTTTTTGCCGTTATTGCGCCTTGGCTGCGTTAACTAGAGCCTCCACTTGAACTCCCTGCGGAGGAGGGCAATGACGGTCCCGGAGCCGTCCTGAGATGCTGGGGGGGGAACGTGGTTGTAAGGCAGCGGGTACTCCCGTGTGCCGTCCTCCTCCTCCATACTTGGCTGCTGTGCCTGATGAAGAGGATGAGTCTCCGCCTCTCAGTGCAAATGATGCCAAAATCTTCCGCTGTTGCATTTGTGTGCTTCTCTACCTGAGACTTGCTTGAATGCTAGTTTGTCATTAGCGCTCTGTAGTCTTACGTGACGTTGCCTACCACGAATGCCATGACTGCCCTGACCCACCTTGTGAAGTATCTGCGTGGAGCCAGGGACCAAGGAGTGCTCCTTCAGCATACTCATCACGGACTTCGCGTTGACTCATTCAGCGATTCTGATTGGACCACATGCAAGCGTACCCGAAGGACCGTGTCCTCAGGTGTTGTGATGGTCGGGCAGAATCTGCTCTACTCTTCGTCTCGGACCCAGCGTGTTGTTGCGCTTTCCTCGGGGGAAGCCGAACCCCTTGCATCGGCCAGCTGCCTTTGTGAGGCTTTGTTTGTTCGTCAGTTGGTTGCATTCTTGGAGAATGATATGTTACCTCAGGTTCATCACCATCTCGATGCAGTTGCAGCCAAAGGCATGATGGAGCGTGCCGGTGTCGGGCGTGTGACGCATCTCAGTGTGAGAGTGCTTTGGATTCAGGGTTTGGTTGATGACGAGACCATACTCCTCGATACGATTCCAACAGCTACCAACCCTGCTGATCTGGGTACCAAAAGCCTCAGGCGTGCCCGCGTGAGGTTGCTGCTTTACCTGCTTGGAGCCTTGATGCCACTTTGGATGAGCCCGTTGGAGAATCTGAGCACGCTGAACTTCAGCAAAGGCAGGCCATGAAGGATGCAGCCAGAGCAGGCAAGAACACAGGCCAGGTTTCCAAGCCAATGATTCGTGCCATTGTGATTGCCGTGCGTAGCGCCTAGAATCGTGCTGCGGATGATGATGCCGATGATAGCAATCATGATGAGCCCGATGACGGTGGATGGATGAGCCCGACGATGAGCCTGGTGACTGACATGATGGCCTGGGTGCTTGTGCTTAATGAACAGTATCCTGGGTTGTTCACGATGTGTGCAGATTCTTCTGCTTGCCCTTATTTTTGTGTGGTTCGGCTTGTGTAGCCAAAGCAGCATTGCAAGCCAGGTGCCTCAGGTACAGGTTCCGCCCCAGGTTCAGGTTGAGCCAGTGGTGCCACCTCCGCCAGGTGCAGGGTCGAAGGCTGTGCCAAAGCCAGCAGCAGGGCCACACCTTGTTATGGTTTGGGTGCCCCGCAATTTGTCGTAAGCGTTATCATAGACAGAACTGTGGAAAGCTGCGTGGTGCCCATAGAATCGAGGAGGTATCGGTCGATGAAGCCCGTGCAAGGGGCTATAGCGCATGCAAGGTGTGCAAGCCTACCGAGGAGTAGATGGATTGCCAATCTTGATAACTACCACAAGTATGTAAAACCCGCAACTTCGGTCTTGGGTGATGTTCATGTTGCTGGGATGCCTTGGTGTCTCGTGCTGCCTGGCACGGGAGATCAAGTCATTCCTTGTACAAAGCTTGAGTGATGTTGATGATGCCACTTGAGTGATTTCCGGAAACCATCGCACATCCTTGACACTCACCATTCCTGGTGAACAATCTTGAAATCCGACTCAAATGTGTGCACCTTGAGTGCTGAATCCAATTTGCATGCTGCATTTTGCAGCTCGTGCCACTGCAATGTGGTTCCAATCCCACATGTCTTGTTATGCCTCAGGCAAACTTGTTAACCACGAACTTTGGGCAGCTGAGAGCTGCATGAGCCAGCTTGCGTCCACATAGTCCAGCAGCGGCTATGTCATGGCCCAAAAAACATTTTGCACCACTTTGGCTTCTTAAAGAAATTTCAATTGTGCATTGCCTACGCTTGGGTAAGTCAAGCAACCATCTCAATCCCTGGGCGTTGACCCCCGGACTGAGTGGAGCATAGTTTGTGTGCCTACCCAGGTCCCAGCCGGGATGTACAGGGTTAGAGCAGTCGCACTGTAGTAACAGTAGCCCAGCGGTAATTAAAACCTTTGTAGAGTCATGGTGCCATGAGCGCATTATGATTGTTTGACTTGAGCCCGCCGCTTCGGTGGCAGCTCAGCGAGCGAGTGATGATTCTTTGATTTTCACGGGAGCTGTACTTGAACTAATCTGTTGGTTCTTCTAGAAACTCCACTGGGTGTCGAAGTCATGCGACAAGTTTGTTGAAAAAGCTGAGAATTGGACTCCTGGTGCACTTTAGGCGGGGTGCTAAACTTTTCTACTGTGTATACACCCCATGTTTTCCATGCCGGTATTTGTGACCACAGTGTTGTTGTTTTCACTATGTTGCTCACATGTATCAGTGAGCCCAATGTGATCTGCACTTTACTCTGCATGCGCTTCTGTGATTTTTTTTAAAACAGGTTTCGTGGCCAACCCTCTGATGATCTGCACCTTGCTTTGGTGTTCACACGAGACCGTGTTGTGAACGCAAAGCCGGGGATCATTCAATTGCGGAGGTCCAATGTGTGGTATCCTTTCACTGATGCAGCTTATGAAGTTGAAAGTCGGGACTCATGTGGGTTTGGCAGTGTCCTTCTTAGTTGCGATGGTAAGCTTGTACACACTTTTGGTTTTACCTCGCCTTGAAAGGCTTTCAGGTTCTGTGGGATATGGTTCTTTCGCCATGTTCCTGTTGGAAAGCTTTGCAGTTATCGCTGCCGTGTGGACGTGGGAATCTTTTTTTAGGGGAGGTCTCAGCTTCTGTGTTTCATTGACAATGAGGTTGTCCTTTGCTCGTTCCTTTTCTGGAAGTCTGAATCGCTTGAGTTTCGAATTCCCGAAACACCTCGTTTGCTGGGAGTCGCATGCCATGTGCCCGTGGTTTGAGCGTGTTGCAAGTTCAGCGAACATTGCCGATGTTCCATCTCGCAATGACTGCGCCTTGCTAAGAAGGGAGCCAAAAGACGAAATTCTTTTTGATGCCTGTGTTGAAGGGTTTTGAAGACTGGCAATCTGGAAAAACAAGGTGCGACATAAGCTAGCTAGTGGTATGTATTGTCAACGCACTGACCATTTGTACTAGCTAACGCTCATCCCAAAAATGAAGGATGTGCCTGACTCGCATTGCATACAATGGGGAAGATGCGTTGCGGGCATGACGAGGTGTTCGGCCCTTGTCGGCTTGTGGATGCTTTAAGACTTCTTATTTGTCCTGCCCTTGCTGGTTCTATTCCTTTTGCCAACGCAAAAGGGTCCGACCATAAGTGCGTGTGGTGTGATCCCTGGCACTTCGCGTTGCATCCAAGCTGCATGTGCATCCGCGTATTGTCAACGCACTTACCGTTTGTACTAGCTAACGCTTATCGGAAAAAAAGAAGGGCGTGCCTGTCGGTGCATGCGCTGAGTGATTGCAGGTTTTAGATTTTCCCCGGCTTACGTTGGATTGTCGATGATTCGTAATATTATTGAAGGATAATTTTGATTGAATTTGGTTTTGCAAAACGAGATGGATTCTTTTTATGTGCATGGAATATGCAAAATGATTTAGCACCTTCCCAGAACAGACTCACAAAGAATCTGCAGCAAGGGACTTGCCGGCGGAGTTGGAGCTGCCGCTCGAACATTAAGCAAAGGCTGATAGTTCGCGCCGATGAAGCGGGGGGCGGCGCAAGATCGCCGCGTGGGTTAGGAAACACGGCAGAAAGCGTCAGCAGCCCCCGGAGCAGTTCCGAATCATGCAAAAAGTGATTGAGGTTGGATCGCTAGGGTTTTTGTTTTTTAGGCACATTTGCAAACATTTGAGCATTTGGTACGTGCTTGCAGAACAGGTGTTGTTTGGAAGTCCCGGGGCCATTGGCCACCCTCTGGAGCTTCAACATTTGATGTGGGAATCATAGCTTCTATCGCGAATGGGTCGCGTGCTTGAACCTTCCAGTTAGCGGACTTCGTGATTAGCAGGAGTGTAAGAAGCATCATGTTCACAAGTCATGGGAGGCAATATCTCAGTCATGAATGCACAGTCCCTCCTACCCTATGTTGGCGCCGACAACTTATCAAAAAAGCTTGTTCCACATTATGATTCAGCCCCCACCAGTGCAAGGCCGCGTTGGTTCGGGCTTCGCGCAATACTTAAGGCGGGTACACGTGATAAATATGTCGTGCGTGCAACGCTTGCGCCGCATTAAATTGTTCCCTGATAGCATGCGGCAATTTTCGATGTTGCTCTGGCCCAAGCGAGAAAACTGACCCAGTCCTGGGGGCTACTGCCAGGCTGGATGGGTCCTTGGCTGATTCTTTTTCGCACCAAAGCCCGGATGTCCGGGCCACGTAGGGTTGAGTCTTAGACAGCTCCCCGAATTTTGCCTCTCAACGACCGAACTTGTCAGGATATGCAGGCAAGCCGAACTGTCCGGCGCTGAGCTGCAGGAATTGGTATTTCCGATGCTGGAGTACTCTAGACTTCTGGTGGAACTATCTAAGGTTCAGTTGTAATCGAGATGAATCCATTCCAACATATTCCAGTCCAAATTTCTTGCGTTCAAATCCTGCGGAATTGTATTGGTGCGTTGCTTTCTCAGCTCCCTTGCAAATTCTTGCTTCGACATGACCGCAGGCACTGCCCGAGGCGCCCGAGGCGCCAAGCCAAGGGCGTCGAAGATTCAAGATGACATTGCAGTAGCCACGAGCGGATAACACTAAAAGTTCATTCTAACTTGTGGAATTGTCAGCATGTGGGTCGACACGTAAATCCACGAGACCCTTCTTTGCTTCTGTGCAGTAGGCTAAATACCTCACTTGGAAGGTCTGGCAATCCAGGAACTGTTCATTGTTGTCCCCAAGCTTTGAAGCCCAGATTGACGTAGGGATATTTTGATTCACTAACGAACGGCTTCCATTTTTCACGTTCTGATGTTGATACAGGAATATTCCCCACCTGAATGGCAAGCTGGCTATCCATGTGTTGCATTGAGATGGGCCTTGCAGGCGCTGATCGAGTCGTCCTTTCGTCGCTTGCTGGCGGCGTTAGACCAAGAACGGGACCAATTTGGGTTTCGGTCTTCTGGTTTGTTGTCTTTGCGCGTAGCACAGAATCCCTGAACATGCCCATTCCAGTTGTCAGGAGCAGGTTCGGGCAGCATGGGCGCGCCTCTCCGAGGTCCATTGTTTCATCTGGCGGTATGAGGGTCGTGTGTCTGTGTGTTCGATCCGGACTGGCTTTCAGCTATGTCATGCAGCTTGCGTGCATTTTCGATTGTGGAGGAGCGTGATCAGACGACGGAGGAGCTTGAGAAGCTCCGGCAGGACTGCTGACGGAAACAGTGTTGTCTGGCATGTGGCCATGAGCGGAGGACCTGGAAATACGTACAGCAAACTGCTGGAATAGTTTCGTCTATGCAGTCCGCATGATGAGAAATGTATTTATTTACAACACGCTGCATTTGAGACCTCTGCGCGTTGATGACAATTACTATGATACTGGTGGTGTTTGCCAATTTTCTTATCCTTGCACAAGTTTTGAGGCCAATGCCCCCAAAGAGTCATAAGGAGTCTTGTTGCCTCTGTTCCTCATGCATCCTTGGTGTTAGAAAGGCAGATGAAGCCCCGAGAAAGGGGAAAACATATCTATGCATATATAGTAGTTTTGCCAAAATAGGGACCTCAGCAACAAACCAACATGTTATAATCCAGATTTTGGGGACCCCCAAAAAGGTATCCCGGTTTCTGGGCAAGCCGCATACATATACATATGCATATATATATATATATATATACATACGCATATTTTATACATATCTAGTTTCTTATGCGCAGGACACTGAGGAATGGTGCTACAGGGAAAAGCTGAAGATAGATGCCGAGTGGCAGCGCCTCAACAAGCTCTCCGAGGCCAAGGGGAGGTCTCTTTGCTAGTCACTACCCCAAACCCTCAACCCTAAACCTTAAACCTTAAACCTGCAACCCTGAACCCTAAACCCCAAACCCAAATTCCTAAACCCGAGGGCTTCAAGTTTTTCTGGCATCGCTACCTTGACGACAGCTTTGTTCTACTGTCGGTGCAAGTTTTGTGGCTGTTATGCCTTAATTCGGCTAGCCAGTTTGATGTGAATATTGCAAACGGTTGTCGAGGCAAGGCGGCAGTGTAGGTGAGAGCAGGGTCAACTTCCAAGCAAGGTAGTTTCCATAAACAGGGAGACCCCAATATAGACCCCCGCTATAGTCCTAATTATGGGGACACCTACAAAGGTACCTCCAATTTATGGAAACCCCCACATTGGGCATCCAGCTGCAGTGGCCTGGCAGGACATGTCCAAGATGTGGACGGAGACAGAGGCGCAGAAAGGGTTCAATGTCGCGACGTGTGGCAAGGAGACTCGTGTGGCAGGTGATTCAGATCAACTGCTCCGGCCAAGTCTTCACAATCCCTAAGCAGACCATGTCTGTAGCCCAGACATCAGACTGTCAGGGCTTGTGTGTGCATGTTGCTGGCGATTCTTTTGCGTTTTTTTTTGCTTGTTGTCATTTGCAAAATGCTTCATTGTAAAACACCTGGACCGCTGGACGACTTTGGCTTTACCTTTTGTTGTGCAGGTGCGGCATTCCTGGCAGCGTTCTCGCTGAGATGTTCAGTGAGAAGTTTATCCACGAAATCCCGCGCGACGAAGAAGGCCGCTTCTTCCTGGATTTCAACCCGCAGCCTGGTCCTCAGGGAGCACACACAAACTGGATTGAGCAACCAGCATTCTTGCCACGATGTGTGATGGAACTGTTCAGGTGTGGATGCTCGTGGGGTTTCAGGCTTCAAGAATCTGAGGGGAAAATCAAATCATACATGTTTGCAGCGGCTTTCCTGAAAGCTCCAGGAATATGTCCCCATCAACCCAATTTGCCAGACAGCTTTCGGCGTTTGGACTTCGGTTCGCGACTTGCGAAAGTGAGCTGGAAGCATCAGCAGCAATTTGGGACGAAGCTGCAAGCACCATTAGCAGAGGGGCGGGCTTGTTCTTTATGACAAGCGGAATGTTTCAAGCATCTCTGCAGCATGCTTCTGTTAGCTTGCACATCTGCCCTTGCATTGCCTGGATGCAAAGTAGGCAGCAGGAGGGCAGTGCAGCAACTCAACATGCGCTATGTTCAATGTATTTGTAACCCCCATAAAATCCCCAATATTATCCCCTGCTGGCTTCCCATGAGGAAAGCGACAATCGGACAAACTCGCCGCCTTCGTTCTGTCAGAGCATGGATGGTACATGAGCTATAGTCTGAACTCCTTCAAGGGGCCTATATGGGGGAGTATATTGGAAAGTACTATGGTTCAAGTGCGTACAGCCAATTTCATGTCTGTCCGGTACCCCTTATGATTGCCAAGATGCTTGCCAACAGGACAGTTCAATACACAGACTACAGTGCAAGTTCCAAGTCCCGAGAGGCGGCGTTCGACTTGCGACAGAACAGTTTTGAGATACAGCGGCCAGAGCACGACTCTCGATCGTCAAGCCGAGGTGTTTCAGCGTGGTGGTGGAGTATCTTCGGAATCGGCGCCTGCGTGCTGATGCGCCTCTGCCGGTAGTGCCGGTGGTCCAGCGGCGGAATATGGAGCTCTTGGCCGAGGCACACTGCTCGAGGTTCTCTGGGATGAAGGCTTCTATTGCAGCTGTTGCATGGCCTAGGCATGGAAACTTTGGCCATTTCTGAAGCCAAACCGCACCGTCCTTAGCTTGATTTTTTGCTCCATGTCTTGAAGACACATGTCTCACTGCTCTGGCCCACATTGGTGTAATGTCGTCTTCGTGCATGTTTCTTGGTGAATTTGCTGCCGCAGTGGGCTTTTTGCGTTGATGTGTTTGGGGTGCTCAGCCGGACTGATGCAGCGAATTGCCCTGCACTTGACGCAACGTCAAACGCTAGAACCCAAAATCGTGGCAATCCGCAATGCATTTTGATGATGATTGTTCCTGTTTTGGGTTGCCTGTCCATCATCCAGGGGGCGAAATGGTGAACGTGCCCTAAGGTATTGTAGACAGCCACATCTTCAGTTCGTGGCGTAAACACTTGGTCTCATGCGCTATAGGAGTCTTTTCTTTCAAGCTACCGAGCGGTTTGGAGGCATGAACCCGCTGCATGGCACTTCTCTCCATGTGGCCACACGGCCTGCGGCAGATCAGCCAGATGTCTGGGCCTAAGCCTATCAAGGAGGCTGTGCTTGTCACCTCAGTTCCTGTGCTTTCCAGGGACCGGAGCCAGCCACCGTGGAGGTGGTGCGCGCGACCCATCCTGGCTGGCAGGCGCTTGACTGCGTCTCTGGTCACCTTGGCATCTTCCTTGCATCATTGATGGCTTGTCTTTAGCAGCTCATAAATGATGGGTAGGTCATCGGCGCGGAACATCCGCTGCCGGTGTCCAGTGCCTCATACTTTGAGGCTGGTCTCGGGCTTCGACATTCGCTCAAACATGCTCTGCAATAAAGTCTGCGCAAGGTCACTGTGCTTGCAAACCCTGATGTGCGTGGTGGGCTGCTGTCTCAGTCCGTGATGCCTCAAGACGGTTCTGTTGCAGCTGCTTCTTCCAGGACCTTGGATTTATGTGTTCTTGATTCCTTTCATCATGGGCAGGTTGGCGGTTGGCCTCTGCAACCATCTCCCACAGGGTCCAGAGACGCACTCCATTAGGCTACAGCCCCTCGGCCTAGCTTGGCTGAGGCGGGAGAACTTCTGGAAAGCTCGTGGGATCTTGAGGTGCTGTGTTCTTTACAACAGCAACAACGGCCTACTTGGGGATGCCCTTGGAGACCACGACGTGCAGTCCGGGCTGCAGCTGTCCGAGGCCGCGACCGGGTGTGTTTGCACAATCCTACCGTGCTATTGCAGGGATGCGGGTATGAGTCATGAGGATCCAAGGCAGAGAGGTCTTGGGCAATTTGTTTCATGAGCGGAGCAATTGGTGCGGGGGCCACGTGTCTTGTGATTTCAGGCTTCTGTGATCCCCAGGGGCACTTTCGTCTAATTTGTGCGAAATCTCGGTGGTCAGTCCTGTAAGGCTCGTAAGGTGATTAAAGATTTTGGCTCTGGTGATTGGAGTATACCTACGTGGAGTTTCAGGTTGTAGGTCTTGAGGCCTGAGGTATGCCGCGTTCTTCCTAATGGAAGGTGTAGTTTGAGGGTATCATCCCCTTGCCAGGGCGAGCGCGTTGGTGTCCGCCACGATGTGCTCTCCAAGTCGCTGCAGTGGCCACTTGTTTGGAAGACACGATAGCTTAAGCCATGGTCGCAGGCACCCATGACGACGTGATGGCAACTATTGCGACGGCAGCTGCAGCTGGAACTGACGGCTGCCTGCTCCCTACTCCTCCCGACGACAACAACTACTACCACCACTACCACCAGCCGCCCACCCCTATCAGCTGCCGAGCAAGAGTCATCGCCAATCTTAGACGCGGATGCCTTGCACTCCTGGAAAGATGTAGAGATTGGCCTTGAAATTCGACTGGTTGAAGTGTAAGTAGGTGAAGAGGCAGCTCTCTGCATGTGTGTCACAAACTAAGAAATGATCTCCCCTCCACCCTTCCTCCGCTCACCAGCACTTGCCGTCTGGTACTTGGAGATGCATTTGGTTTGGAGGGGGTAGGCCTGCTCACCAGTCTGCTGTTCCTACTGCTGGTCATCCTCCTCCCCACCGCTGCCGCGGCGGCTGAAACAACAACTACCACAAAGTTTGTACCACTAGTGCGGCGGTGGCTGCTGCTGCTGCTTATCCTCCTCCTCCTACTACTACTATTACTACTACTACTACTACAACAACAACAACAGCAGCTACTATTAAGAAAACTATTAATAATACGAATATTTACTTGATAGTAACCAGACTTTCAGAGTTTTAGGGTCTTAGGGATCGCAGTTTTGCGGGGATCGGGGCTCTTGAGAGTTTTTGGTTTTGAGGGTGTCTGCCATTGTTGTTTCAGACTTGATTATGTTGACTTGGTGTGTTTGATGTTGACAGGTTTGGGTGGGGCCTTTCAGAGGCTTGGGTTTGGAGGTATTCGGAGTTATTGCTTTGGTGTCGTGACATAAACAGCTTGAGTATCATAATCTAGTTGAGCTGTGAGCGTTTTTGTTGGCAATGCTTCGTTAAGTGAAATCCGCGAGACGCGAAAGGTCCCCAGGCAGCCATGCTACTGCATTCAATGCATGACATCTCAGGTTTCACAACGGTATGTACATCGGCATCTGAGCTGCAAGTGGAATTGAGCACCGAGCAGTCTGCGCACTGTGACACTACAAATCCACCTCGTTTTGATGCCAATCAGTTCTTGAAAGATCCAAGTGGTAGTTTTGCAAAATAGGGGGACCCTTAAATAGATGGGGACCTCCGAAAAGGTACCCGTAATTTTTGGAAACTCCCAAGTAGCCTCTGAGCAGGTGCATCTTCTTTCCTTCCGGAGACTCTGGAGCACTGGGAATCCATCTACCCCGTCTTCGGGTTGTATGTGCCGGGCCAGGCAGGTTTCTGGGCAGCCCAATTCACCCACCTTGCCTCCGAAACTTTTTTGTAGCACCAATTCGTAATGTCTCAGACGGAGGGCCGCAGCTGCTACGCATACAAGACAGGGGTTGTAAGTCTTTGGACTGTTGCTGCCCAAGGGGAAAGCTCACCTCTCCTGCCCCAAACAGCCCCTTTCAGCCAAACCCCTAACCCCAAAGCACCTCTCTAACCAAAGGCCGCCCCCAAAGTGCACGTCTTAGCCAAACGCGAGGCCTCAAAGCCAAACTCCCAGCCACACAGCGCACCGCCAAGCCAAACACCAGCCCAAACAAGCGCACCTCTAAGCAAAACACACCACACCGCCAAACACCAAGGCCCAACGCCCACCTTTAAGCCCAACATCCCGCCCGACAGGCCTCAAAATGCATCTCTAAGCCAAACATCCCACTCCATCCACTCCAAAGTGCGCCTGAGAGCAAAATGCTGTCTCTCCCAAATCCCTTTCTCGGACTGCAAATTAGACATCTTCAGACCAAGTGTTGGAAAACTGTCGAAATCCGCAAGTTCAGGTGTCGCGCAGAGCTCCTCCAGAACCGTCAGGGAGTGAACTGCGGTGGGCAGAGGTCCCAAAAAGCACTCCCAGCCGAACACTCGCAGCCCCAAAGCGCTCCTAGATGCCAAATGACAGGCCCTAAAGCGCACGCCAACCCCAAAACCCAAAGCACACATCCAACCCAAACGCCGCATCCCAAAGCGCACCTCTAAGCAAAACGCCTCACCCCAAAGCGCACCTCCATGCCAGACAACAGCCCCAAAAGCACACGGCTAAGCCTAACGCCGCCCGGAAACGGCATGTTGCATTTTGCACGCTTCCCGCATAATCGTAAGGGAGGGGTATATTGTTACAGCTGGCATGCGGAAGCCAGCCCCCATGTTACAAGTGTCATGATGCCCATGATTTCCCAGCACTTCGACTGCGTGCGAGAATGTTAGCGTACTTGCTGCTTCCAATATCTTATTGCATTCGTTCAATATAATTCCAAGTAATTCCCTTCTGTGTGGTGGGCATTCGTATTGCTAATGCCATCATCAACTGCATGGTTACCCTAAGTCACGTTAGGCCTAGCTCTGGTATTTTCTTGTTAACTTTTCTGGTTAGGTTGTTCAGATACCCTCAATATCGAGCAGTGAGGACCACCAAACTTGCTTTCGTAAACCCAAGACCTCAAGACATGAAATCCTTTTGGTAGTATTCTCAGCTATGAGGTCTTTTTGGACTGTTTGCAGTTCTTGGTGTGCGTTTGGCCATCCGCAAGTCTTCGAAAGGGTCAGAACATCAGCCCCAAATCCTGGTTGCAGCTCTGCAGCTGCTTTCAAAACAAGTCAACTTGCCCCCTTGCGGAATCCCGCATCCCAGTCCTCGACTAAAAATCCTGTCGCGGCCTTTGCCCAAACTCCGAAAACCCAAGCCTTGAACTCCTAAAGCCCTCTGCCAACCTTTGGAGGCAATCCTGGTGGACTTCCGGGCGGCGCCGCCCAGTGTTGAGTGACTCACCAGACACCGTTTCACATCGTGAATTGCTGTGCATTACAAGAAAAAGGCCTTGGGTTTTAGGGTCAAGATGCTGAGGCGGGAACGGTTGTTGGCTTCGCGTTTGGTTCCCAAGACTGGTGCTTCTGGCTTGAGACGTGTGGTTGCTATGTGGCTAGGTTTGCTTGGTTGAAGCTTCCCGGCGTTTGTATTCCATGCCACGCAGTCTCCGTCAAGGCATGCCTTTGCCGGGCCGGGCTCAAGGTCTAGGCGAAGAAAGGGTAACTTTCTGTTCCAGTAGTATCTTAAGAATTAGCTGCGGTTAACCTGCGATCATGTGAATTTCGGAGTGTCGCTTCTTAATGTTCCCATCGCTTTACAGGGCTTTCACCTGAAAACTCTGGGGTGCCGCTTGTCAATGTTCCCTTCGCTTTCGGCCATATTCCAGCACTCCAGCTCCAAACAAGCTGCACGCCCACGTGTGGAGCAGCACGTGCGCCATGGCACTAAGTCTGGGCAAAAGGCTGCTAGTTTGAAGCTCTGCGTGCCTTCCACTCAAGGCAACAGCCTTCGAACGAGCCTTATTGGGATAGGCATGCTATGCAAGTGCTGTTTAGTGCCCAGTATTTTATATGACCGTATGAAACCTTGTAAAGCGATAAAAACATTGAAAAGCGATACCCTCAATTCGGCGTCCATTGCCCAATGTAAGGAGTTTTGACCGGCACTCACATTTTGACACGGCATGGCGGATCCGGGAGCTTGGTCCTGGTGCTGGACGCAGGCCATGCTTGCTGCTCTAGGGTAGGCTGGAAGACAAGCCACGCCAGGGGGTGACTTGACACTTGTAATGATGCTCTGCAAAGCCGATTCAAAGTCATGAGCACTAGTTGTCATCGTGCAGCAGGAACATCATATTGCCTTCGCTCATTAAAAGCAAGTTTTCTACTACCGCAGGTATGTGCTACCCTACACCCTCTTTAGAAGCCCTTGAAGGGGACGTTATGTAGGCCTCATATCCCTAAATATCCCGAAGAGGAACTCTGCAAAGCCCTTGCGCACCTGTTAAAATCACCCTATACAGGCCTTAGCCCTCTAAAAGACTCTATGCAACCCTTATAACCCTTTTTAAGGGGCCCTATGAAGTGACGGCAGCGCAAAGAATGGGTTGGGCATGATGTCAAAAGCTGAGGATAGTTCACACGGAAGCAGCCGAAATGCGTGCCAAGACTTTCGTGAAGAGACATTTCAGCAAGCATGTACTGGCCTTTGAAGCGGAACTTAGGTAATTGACCCTATTTAAACCTTAGTACCTTTGTAAGGGACCCTATGAAGGTTTTATACAACAGCTTATACTTCTATGTCCCTGGAGATTGGCTGAGTGAGATAAAGCAAAATTGGCCAACAACCCAAAATGCTGGTCAATGCTGGTCAACCACTCCTTAAGGCGGGGACGCTCGCAGCAAATAATTTGAATTGACCCGGAATGAAGGATGCCTCGCGAGCCATTGCTTCGCAAAGGCCCCCACTCAACTATTGTACAATGACCCCACCCGTACCAAGGTGTGGATAATTACATATTCTGGGCGCGATTGCCGAAACGTACCGAGGGGCACCTATATTGTACACTTTTCTTCGTTGCATTGATGTCACATGCAGATGTTCTCTCACTGCCGTACTGTAGTATGTTCGATGCCCACCCCCTAGCCCCAACTCATTCCCCTGCTTGGCACGATAAGCAAAGCCTTTGGTTGCAGCTTTGACCGCTTGCTCATGGCTGCTTTGAAACCTCTCATGCTGACTGGCCATTGCCCCCCAATGCCTTGCTGTTGTATTGTATATTTCCAGCTAGTGTGATTGCACGTTTCCAGGGCCCCAAAATGTACAATCAGGGTAGGGCCTCCAAAACCTGTTTAGGCCGCTGGGTCTTCTCAAGATGCTTCGGCGCAGCCCTCAGCTTTCAGGGCTTGGAGCTTCAAGGTTGAAAGAGTTTCACAGACTTGTAGTTGGAAACGCTTCGAGGATTTACAGATCATTGAAGAGGTCTGACCTTTTGGGAGCTCAAAAGGGAACATGAAATGTGCTGCAGTGTTGGGCTTGGATTATTAGGTGTAAGTTTATTCCGCCAGCTTAGCACCCTTTCTGACTTGCACAAAAACTAGTGACCCTAACGGAACCTTGTGGCCGTGGCGTTGTCAGTAGAGATGGCAGCAAGGGCCTTCAATCCTGGCAAGCGTCAAAC